CTCCGTGGCCGTGGCCACTTTGGGGGAATCCTCCGCCCGCAGCGCTCTCTCGTCTTCTTGGCTTGGGGTGGGTGAAACCCAAGCTGTTGAACACACATCCTTTGGCCGCCTGGGCATTTAGATTTCTAAGGAGGGAGGGAGGGGGTGCCAGGGGATCCACCGCATTCCTGGATGTCTGTCTGAAAGGTAATCTTCCACCAGAGTCAGAGGAAGGCATGCATGTTCCCAGTGTGGCCAGAGTCCCGGAAAGGAACTTCAGCTCAAGTACAGGAGAGTAGGAGGCATGCACAGAAAGCATTAACATTGCCCTGTGTGTTGGGGGCAGCAGCTGTCTGGGCAGATAGCCGCATGGCATGTAGTAAGTGCTCAGAGAGGCATGTACAAGGTGCCATGGGAGCCACGGGTCCTTATGCCAAGTGGGCTGGCGAGGAGGAGGCATGGACCTGAGGCTTGAAGGATAAGCCCCAAGGACCCAGAGGCTGGGACTCCTGTGCCAAGCAGTGAGAACCGCATGTGTAAAACAGCTGGGCTACTTCGGAGGCCTGGCCTGCTGGAAAAGCCTCCGGCTCCTTGGTGGCCAGAGCAGGGGCAGTGGCGAGGACAGCAGAAAGTGCCAGCTGGGGCTTCTGCCCTCCTCGCCAGCCATGTCCCCAGGCCAGGCTTCCACCAGCGCCACAGAGCCCACGATGGCTGCACTTAGTGGCCTTGGGACCGGCATCACTGTTGCCAATGGTCTCAGTACTATGTTCATTGTGATGAAGTTTTAAAATTAGAGAAAATGGTACAAGACATTCCTAGGCAAAATGTGTACGTTTGACACCCTCTGTCATTAGCTACTGCTTTTTATATCGGTGAAGGTTCTTAAGAAAGGTCATGGGAAAATTCCACTCCCTCCATCCCCCAAAAACCACTTTATTGGGATTTTAATGCAGATTTCATATCATTCCGTAGTTCAGTCGCATCAAGTGGTATTGTACGATTGCTTCCAACAATCAGTTTCAGAACATTCTTTTCCTTCGTGAACTCCTTGACATCAGCTCCCTTTTAACTCCCCCAAAACCCTTATTCTACTTGCTGTCCCTATAGGCTCACCAATCCTGGGTTTCATATACTAGAGAGGGTGGTACGGAGCCCATTGGCACCTGTCCTCCCGCAGCGGACTGATATAGTGTTACTACTAATTCACTCAGTATAACGACGCTTCCAGATCCTGCCATGGCATGAGGTTCTTCATGGTTTGCTCGCTGGTTTTTAGGGATGCATAGTATTCCGAGGTGCATATGTACCAGAGGTGGTTTGTTTTGTTTTTTAATTTCACTCTCTTACTGATGGGAATTTTGGCTGTTTACAACGTATTGCTATTGTGAACTGTGCTGCAATGAACATTGTGTGTGTGTGGGGGCATACATCTGTTCATGATCTGCTCCTTACTTCTTTGGGGTATATGCCCAGTAATGGTATTTCTGGGTCATATGGTATTTCAGTTGCCATCTGTTTTAGGAATCGCCATATCGCTTTCCACAAATGGCTGTGTATGTGTACTGGATATCCACCATCTAGACTTTTTGAAATGCCTACTCACGCACTGGTGTACTGATTGCACGTTGGACTAACTGAAAAATCAGCAGTTTGAAACCACCAACTGCAGCTCAGAAGAAACACGGGGCTTTTTACTCCTGTAAAGAGCTGTAGTCTTGGAAACCCACAGGGGCATTTCTACCTGCGCTATTGGGTCACTCTGAGACAGCATGGACTTAGCATAGTGAGCTTACACACACACACACACACACACACACATTTTTCTGACCTCAAGTTGGAGATATGGTGTCCTTTTATACTCCTTAATACTAAATTGTGATAAGAGTTGTATGAGCCCTTAATAAAATGATTTTTTTTAAAAGAGAGAGAAAAAAAGTAATACTAAAAAAAATTGTCGAATGGAAACTAGTATGCTCATAAACTTTCACTCAACTGCAATAAAATGTTACAAGATAAAAAATACTAAATTGTGTATTTCTTAAAAACAGGGGTGTTATCCCATATAATCTTAGAGGCCATTGGGTTGGTTTCAACCCATCGCAGCCCTGTCTGCACAACAGAACAGAACTCTGCATGGTTCTGCACCATCCTCACAAGGGGGCCTGTGCCTGAGCCCCTCGATGCAGCCACTGTGTCGATCCGCCTTGTCTTCCCCCTTTTCAACGCCCCCTTTTCCCCAAGCATGATGTCTCCAGAGACTGGTCTCTCCTGACATGTCCACGTGTGTAAGACAAAGTCTCCCCATCCTTGCCTCCAAGCGAGCACTCTGGCATTACTAATGCAAAGACAGGTCTGTCCGTCCTTTTGGCAGTCTGTGGTCCTTTCAATATCTTCAATAGCACAACCATTCAAATGCATCCCTTCTTGTTCAGTCTTCCTTATCCAGCGTCCACTGTCACATGCATACGAGGCCCTGGGAAATGCCCTGGCGCGGGTCAGGCGTGTGTTCCCCTCAAAGGAACGTCCTCATCTTTCAACACTTTAACAAAACTTTCCTGAATGTAATACATTGTCGTCTCTCTTGACTGCTGTTTCCATGAGAAGTGATCGTGGATCCGATGTGAGATGAAATCTTTGATAACTTCCGCCTTTTCTCGGTTGATCATAAAGCTACCTTTTGGTCCACTTGTGAGGATTTTGGTCTTCTCTACATGGGGTTGTAATCTATCCTGAAGGCTACAATCCTTGGTTTCATCAGCACAAGCTTCAAGTCTTCCTCACTTTTGGCCAACCAGGTTGTGTCACCTGCATATCTCAGGTAGTTAATGAGCCCTCCTTCTAATCATCTTCATCTGATTCTCTGATGATTTGCTCAGCATATGATTGAATACATAGGATGAGAGAGTGCACATCTTTCCTGGTTGTTAAACCAGCTTGTTCCCTAGTTTTACAGGCTCTGCACGAGCACAACGAAATGTGCTGGGGTTCCCGTTCTCAAGATTGCCAGTGATTTGTTAGGACCCATACAGTAGAATGTCTTGACATAGCCAATAAAACACAAGTAAACACCGTTCTGGGATTCTGTGCTTTCAGCCGAGATCTAAGTCAGCATTGCCTCGTCCTCTCGGAATCCAACCCAAGCCTCTGGCAGCCAGCTCTCCTGCTGCAACTGTGGTTGGGTGGTCTTCAGCAACATGCTCATTGCATGTGATATTAGTGACAGAGTTCTGTAATTAGAGCGTTCTCTTGGGTCACCCTTTTTTGGGATTTGTGCAAGAATGGGTCTCTTGTCAGTTGGCCAAGTAGCTCTCTTCCAGATTTCTTGCCTTCGACGAGTGTCTGCTCCAGTGGTTCATGCTTCATCAGCCTGTTGAAGCATTTCAGTCGGTATTCTGCTCCCTGCATCTTTGTTTAAAACCATTGTGCCACCTCTTGAGATGGTTGAATGTTGACTAGTTCTCTCTGATACAGTGAGTGACCCTCTAAATTCTGTTCATCTTTTTATGCTTCCTGTGCCGTTCAATATTTTGCCCATAGAATCTTTCAATGGTAAAACACAAGGCTTGAGTTTTTTCTTTAGTTAGTTTGAGATCGTGTACATATTCTGACCTTCATCAAGCTCTCACACCTAGTGTTAGCATTCACTGATTACTGTAGCCATCAGTACAATCAGCTTCTGTGTGTGTGTGTTTTAATTGGGGGTTCTTACAACTTTTATAACAATCAGTGCGTCAGCCGTATCAAGCATATTTGTACATCTGTTGCCATTATTTATTTTCTAAACATTTACTTTCTATTTGAGCTCTTGGTATCAGCTCCCTCTTTTTTCCCCTCCCTCGTGACCCCTTGATAAATGATAAATTGTGATTATTTTCATATGGAACACCGACCGCCGTCTCCTTTCCCCCACGGTCTCTGTTTGTCCGCCTCGGGGTTGGGGTGGTGTGGTGGTTTTTTTGGTTGTTGTTGTTGTTGGCACTCTGCAATAAGGAAATGCCATAATGGATTCGGTGTTGGGCTACTAACTGCAAGGTCAGCAGTTCGAAACCACCAGGTTCTCCGTGGCATGAGGCTATCTGCTCCCAGAAAGAGTTATAATCTTGGGAACCCAGTGGGGCAGCCCTGCTCTGTCCTTTTAGGGTCTCTGTTGGAATTGGCTCTAGCAGTGAGTTGAGTTCCTCCCAACCTTCCGGCAACGCTAATCTCAGTTCCACATCTGGGGATTGACTTTGGATTTCGCGTTGGCTTTTAACTTGCTGGGCTCCTGGCACCTCTCCTTGTTCCTTGACCTTTTCGGTGCTTTGTGAACATCACCTGCATCTTGGTGGTGCCTTAGTGTGGGGAGAGGCTGTATCTTGACGGACGCAGCAGGCCACTTGTCTCCGTCGGGGCAGACTGTGTGGGGCTGAAGGCATGCTGCAGAGACCCAGCGGTGCTTCCATCGGCCCGGAACCTGCGGTGTGAATGTTGTCTCTCCCTCACGTCTCTGAGCTCCACGCAGGACGGAAGTGGGGGCAGAAGAAGGCTGGTGTCCTTTGCATCCCGAAGTGCTGACTGCTTCCTAGTCCAGGCTGAATTTGCTCGCCTGCCCCTGCACGCACTCCGTGCTCAGCATGGCTACATGGTGGGTGCAGTGAGCTTTCTTTCCCCTCCTGTCACGTGGTCAGGGACAAATTGCTTAGTTTCCAGGGAGGCACATCGGTGTGATGGCCCGGTAGCTGGAACTAAATAAGTTGAAACAACACTTGGAGTTTCACAGTTGCTTCCTTAAAGATCTGCTTTCCATTTCTGCGGGTGACGCCAGGAGACGTGGGGAGAAAAGCAGAAACTTAAGTGGCCGTACCAGAGATCAGTAGAACTTCCAGAGGAAAAGTGGGGCTTAAGATGTGCGTGGTAGTAGTGTAGGACAGGGCTGTGCGTTTCAAATATCATGGCTCATCCTCATTCCCCTCCTCCCCCCTTTTCTCTCTCTCTCTCTCTCTCTTTCTCTTCTCTCCCTCTCTCTCTCTCTCCAGACAGGCTCGGAGCTCAGCCCAGTTGATGGACCCATCGCAGGTCAGATGGACTCTGGGCCAGTGTACCATGGGAACTTACGGCAGCTAAGCAGCTCAGGGGCGCCGGTCAATGGTGCTAGAGAGCCCGCAGGGCCCAGTCTGCTGGGGACTGGGGGGCCCTGGCGGGTAGACCAGAAGTCTGACTGGGACACCGCCCACACTGCTCGCCTGGAAGATGCTCACGATCTGGTGGCCTTCTCGGCTGTGGCCGAAGCTGTGTCCTCCTATGGGGCCCTCAGCACCCGGCTCTATGAAACGTTCAACCGGGAGATGAGTCGGGAGGCCGGCAACCACAGCAGGGGACCCCGGCCGGCATCTGAGGCCTGCTCTGCCGGCGGGGAGGACCTCGACACACTGCAGACGGCCCTGGCCCTGGCACGGCATGGCATGAAGCCGCCCAACTGCAACTGCGATGGCCCGGCGTGCCCTGACTACCTCGAGTGGTTGGAGGGGAAGATCAAGTCCGTGGTCGTGGAGGGCAGGGAGGAGCGTCCCAGGCTCCTGGGGACTCTGCCTCCTGGTGAGGCTGGCCTTCCAGCAACCAGCAGCCGGCCACTCCTCAGCGCCGAGGCCCCCCACATGCCTCCCCCGGAGAGCCTGCCCTTGTCCCAGAGTGCCCTGAGCATCGCCAAGGAGAAGAACATCAGCCTGCAGACCGCCATTGCCATCGAGGCCCTCACACAGCTCTCTTCCGCCCTCCCCCAGTCTCCCCACTCCACGTCCCAGGCTTCGTGCCCGCTGCCAGAGGCCTTGTCCCCTCCGACCCCTTTCAGATCGGCCCAGTCCTACCTCCGGACCCCCTCCTGGCCTGTGATCCCCCCCGAAGAGCATCCTTCCTTTCCCCCCGAGAGTCCTGCCTTCCCTCCAGCAGCCCCCAGGACCGATTTTCCTGAAGCCTGGGGCACGGACACCCCACCAGCAACCCCCCGGAGCTCCTGGCCCGCGCCTCGCCCAAGCCCCGACCCCATGGCCGAGCTGGAGCACTTGTTGGGCGCCAGCGATTACATCCAATCCGTGTTCAAGCGGCCCGAAGCCCTCCCAACAAAGCCCAAGATCAAAACGGAGCCCCCAGCTTCCTCCCCAGCCCCGCCCGTGTCCCCCGTCATCCAGCGGGAGGCGCCCCCACCATCCTCGGAGCCCGACACCCACCAGAAGGCCCAGGCCGCCCTGCAGCAGCACCTGCACCATAAGCGCACCCTCTTTCTGGAGCAGGCCCCCGACGCCGCCTTCCCTGCCCCCACGGAGCCGCCTGCTCCCGGCTGGTGGCCCCCCTCCAGCTCTCCAGCCCCACGACCTCCAGACAAGCCACCCAAAGAGAAGAAGAAGAAGCTCCTGACACCCTCTGGAGGCCCCGTGGGGACAGAGAAGGCCACCCCAGGGGTCAAGCCTGCTGTCCGCAAGCCCGTGCAGATCAAAAAGTCCAAGCTTCGGGACACACAGCCCCTCTTCCTGCCCCTCCGGCAGATCGTCCTGGAAGGGCGGAGGCCCACAGCCCCGGAGGAAGTGCAGGCACAACCCCCTGCCGCCCTCCCCTCTTCACAGGGCTCTGCTGCCCCCCTGCCCCCTGAACCTTCTCTTGCGCTATTTGCACCAAGTCCCTCTGGGGACAGCCTGCTGCCCCCTACTCAGGAAACGAGGTCCCCCAGCCCTATGGCCACCCTGCAGGCGGGCTCCACTGGCCCTCTTCCCCCTGCAGATGACAAGCTGGAAGAGCTCATCCGGCAGTTTGAGGCTGAATTTGGGGATAGCTTCGGGCTTCCCGGTCCCCCATCTCTGCCCATCCAGGACGCCGAGAATCAGCCGACGTGTCTCCCGGCCCCCGGGAGCCCCTTTTCTTCCCGTTCCCCCAAGCAAATCAAGATCGAATCCTCGGGGGCTGTGACTGTGCTCACCACCACCTGCTTCCCTCCCGAGGAGGGCGGCCAGGAGGCCACCCCCACCAAGGCCGAGAACCCGCTCACACCCACCCTCAGCGGCTTCCTGGAGTCGCCTCTGAAGTACCTGGACACACCCACCAAGAGTCTTTTGGACACGCCCGCCAAGAGAGCCCAGGCCGAGTTCCCTACCTGCGACTGTGTAGGTGAGTCTGCCTGGGGGTCGCGGAGGGCCAAGGACCGAGGCTTGGCTGGGGTTTCTAGAGTGTCTGTTATTTGGCAAACGTAGCGTGTGCCAACCACCATGCTGGGCTTTAGAAAACAAAAACACAAAAAACCACCCAACCCCACCGGAACTGATGTGTGGGCTGCCAGAGACTTTAACCTTGACCGGAGCAGACAGCCCTGTCCTCCTCCTTGGAGCTGTGGATTGGGGTAGCCGTCAGTGCCTAACTCAGAGTGCCACCTGGGCTGTACGGGATTGAGCTCACGGGCGTGGATAAGACGTTTAGGAAATTGATAAGGATGCTGTGTGGTGCAGGCCTCGTGGGTAGAAGTGGGCATCATCTCCCCTTAAAGGCAGGGAGTAAAAGTTGCAGGCGGCAGACTGTCGCGTCTGGAGAAACCCAGCATTGGCTTGGTAGCGGTTTCTTTGGAAGCAGTCAGAGGGGTGGGCAGTGGGCTCGAGACCCACAAGCAGAGAGTCCCACCATCACCAACAAGGTATTCTCTCATTTCCATGTGACAAAACTCATCCTAACCAAGAGTGTTACAACCAGAGCTCACTTGTATTAAATTAAAATGTTTTAATCCTCCCAAAACCCTGTATTCAAGTCGGCGCTGACGCTTAGTGAACTCTATATAAGGTTTCCAAGGCTGTAAATCTTTATGGGAGCAGAGAGCCTCATCTTTCTCCCAAAGAGCGGCTGGTGAGTTTGAACCTCCGGCCTTGTGGTTAGCAGTCCAATGCTTTCCCTGACAACACCACTAACAAATATTAAACAGCAGAAACAAACGGTATATAAATAAATAATCACCTCACCCGGCTTTTTAAAAAAGGGGTGGGGGGAGACTGGAAGGCCATATATCCCAACACTTAACAATGTTATCTCTATGGTCTTTGGATTTTCTAATCAAGGCGTCATTTTGAAAGTGCATCTTGGTTAGCTAGCAGTTGCATGGAAGATGATTTGGCAGAGATCGATAACCTTGATCACCACGTGGCAGGAGGCTGTTCAGAACAATATTAGTATTTATGAAACACGTGCTGTGTTCCAGGCCCCGTGCCAAGTCTTTTACCGTCAGCACCTCATTAAACCTTCTCCTGTGAGGGTGGGCACTGTCCAGAGCTCCGTTTGGTGAGGGAGAAACTAAAGTTAAATAACTTTCCAAGGACATCCAGCCAGCAAACGATGGACATGGAATTTGAACCTAGGCAGGTGGACTCGACCCTGAGCCCCCATGCCAAACTCTGATTGAGATAGGTTAGTTGAGAAATATGATGTAACCAAACAGCCCTACTAGAGATGGAGAAGGAGGGATTGGCTTAGAAACCATGTCTGGAGGTGCTGGGGTCTACGTAAGGGAAAGCCAGGTTGTTTTCCAGAACTCTCTAGAGCCCCAAGCCTAGAGAGGTAATTGTGTGCAAATTGCAAACTTGGCTCAGGACAGAATCTAAAAATAAAGTGTGCTGGATGCTGGGGTTAGTCTCCGGTGGGACCATCCACGTTTCAGAAACTTACCCAGTCACCAGTGGGAGGTGCAGACTGGGCTGGGGGGTGGGGGGCAGAAGTCCTCCTAAAGAAAAATCTTCAATAAAAATGGCCGGTGACATCTGGAGCCCCCATTCGTGCTTTCCATAACTGATGGAGTCAAGCTGTGAGAAGGACTTTATAAAAACGCAACAAGAGCAGACTTTACAGCCCAGCAAAAGAAGCCTAATATGCAAATTCCTTAGGGACTTTGTTTGTTGTTGTTGGCCAAAGCAGCATTTTGGGGGGGGACGTTGCCAGGTTACGAAAGCCCCACACGCCAAGAAGACAGCTTTTTACCCTTGCACAGAGATGGTAGTTTTGAAGGTACAAATGGGATTCGTATGTTCTTTGCATCTTTAATACTAGAATTCAGTAACTACCCCTTGAAGCTTCAAAGAACATTTTTAAAATATGAAAGGAGGGCCTTTACTCCAAAAGGTGAATGATTTGTTGCAGGTTTGGGAAAACGTAGTTAGTTGATGTTCTACACTGAACTGTTCAGGGGATTGATCTCCGTATGAGGGGGACTAACACCCCACCCCACTCCCCGGCCCCCCACAAGGGGGGGAAAAGCCCTGCTGGGCAGAGCCTTGATAGTTTGCATTTTTCCCACTAAGCAATGTACTCAGTGTCACGGAGAGTACTTTGAAGGAGATATGATTGTTTTGTAAGAAAGTTTAAATGCATGGCTTTGGGGGGGGGAGTTCTGGGGGACCCCCTCATATGTGCTTCTCTTTTGGTTTGTTTCATTCAATTGATGTGTTTAAATAAATGAACTGCAGACACAGCTGTTGAACTTGCTGCATCAAGTTACCACGATATGCACTTCTACTATTGTGAGGCACCCACGGAGGAGGCCCCTCACCCTCACCCTCCCTCGTCCCAGGTCACCCTTGCCGGAGGCAGCACAGTGAGCTGCAGCACATGTGGGCGTGTGTGCTGTGGTGAGGAGCTGGTCCGAGCAGAGGCTTTCTCCTGGGCAAGCGTCCTTCAGGATCTCCTGCTTTGACATCAGCGTTCAGCGGATGAAATGCAAGCCCTGTTAGATGTTCAGTGTCCTGGCATTTACAACGGACAGGCTAGAGGCAGCTGAAAAGATCCCCCACTGTAGCCAGAGCTGGAGGTTAGGAGATTAGATTGTTAGCGGTTAGATGTTCTAGGCGTTGCCTTCACACAAAGCTGAATTTTCGTGTAGCTGGTCTTTCTTTCCCTAAAGAAGTGCCCACACGCCCGCCCAAGAATAACATTGGCTTTGCCTGGGGCACGAGAGAAGCTGGGGAATTTCCCTCGCATGTGCTGATGTCTGCATGCATAGGCACCGTTAGCACGCCCCCTCGTTCTGTTTCCATGAACGCGAAGCCTGTTTCCTGTAGTTTCTGTCTTTGTGAGAGCGGCTTTCCTCCATTTGCCCTCAGTTTAACATGAACAGGAACTTCTTAAGCTTCCGGTTTTTAAAAGAGAGCCTAGACCACTTGGCCACCAGGTGTAGTTACGCCGTGCACTTTGAGGTTGAATTTCTGCCCTGCCTTGGTCTTCGCCACTTCTCTCCTTCCGTGTGCACCTGGGGCTCAGTGAGCCACTCTGGTTCTGTCTGGAGAACAACCGCTTAGAGGCCTTCGGGTCATTTGGTAGTTCTCGGGCAGGGCCTTCAGCTTTGGGGCTTACATGCCAAATTGGAGCATTTGTAATTCCTACTACTAGTTATTCCTCAGGTCTCTTGATGAGGTTTGTGAGAATGATAGCTCTTTTTTTTTTTTTTTTAAGAACAAGACTTTAAATCTGCTATTTTCTATTTTTATTAAGGCAGTTTCCACTTTTCATTTTTATTTTCGCTTTCCACTTTATTTAGTTCGTCCTTTATTCTGGTCTCTTGGTTTCAGCACATGACCGACTTAGTTTCATGTTGATGAATTTTTTTAAATGATGACATTACAGCAAGATGGCAAAATACCCTATTCCTGAAGCCTGGTGAAAAGAAACAAACAAAAATAAGCGGGAGAATCCATCTCCCGGAATTTCGGGATAGTCCTCATCTTTAACCGTGGATGGCAAGGGTTGCCTACCGATTGAAGAGGACCATCTTGGATCAAGATGAAGGGCTCCCGGGGATGGTCTACAGCTCCCAGGGCTGGGAAAAGCAGAGGCTGACAACCAGAGAGACCCCCACCTCCGAGAGACCACCCATATGGAATATGCGAGTACCTTTGGGGGTGGCCAGTTGACAGGGGAGGTGGACACCCCTCCCTTAGGAGCCACCCTTGTATCTGAAGGCAACAGCACCAGACAAAACCCTGCCTGTCGGTTTAACGTGCTGTTTTACTGAGTGGCCATATTGCTCCCTTATGGGGTGATGAACCAGAAACGTAGAGCAACCACCCTCATCAAAACAGCACCCCACAACACCCCCCCACACACACACATACACACACGGGGGTGGGGGGGCGTGAGTGCACAGAGGTGATACGTTGCAGCTGGGTGCAGCCTCCCCAATTCCTCCTCCTCCTCCCAAAAACTACTGGACCGTATTATTCATTGCAACTTCTGTATCATCCAGTTTTCTAGCTTAATTTTAAGGGAAGTCCTTGAGCCAAGTTCCTAGGTAAAGAGAGTGAAGTAAGGAAATTCCACCTGTTCGATTTGGGGCAAGTCGGTACAGACCAGTGGTCCTCAACCTTCCTAATGCCACGACCCTTTCATACAGTTCCTCATGCTGTGGTCATGCCCAACCATAAAATTATTTCGTTGCTACTTCATCGCTATTAATTTTGCTGCTGTTATGAATCGGGTGACCCCTGTGAAAGGGTCGTTTGACCGCCAAAGGGGTCACAACCCGCAGGTTGAGAACCACTGGTATAGACCAATGGTTCTTCCCTGGGGGTGGTTTGACACCACCCCCACCCCCACCCCGGGACATTTTGTAGTGCCTGGGGATGTTTAAGGCACAGCACAGCCCCACACCACAGAGTTATCTGGTCACTCGTGCCAAGATAGAGAGTCCCTGGATGTATGCTTCACCTGTTAAATGATTACTTAACAAACAAGCAAGCAATGCCAATATAGGGCCTGTTCCCTTTCTGTGGGAAAAGCGGAGGTGGGTTAATCGTAGCATCAAAAGTGATGATTTACCTTTAAAGCACAAGAAAAATTTAAGCAACTGATTTATATACTTTAAAGGAAGCTGAAGAAAATGTTTATTGTGAATCCAGACGTGAGGCAGGAGCTGCCAGAAGGTCACAGAGAGACCACAGGGCAGTGGGCTAATTCAGAGGACGAGCATGCCGTCGCCGTCCTGCCAGCAGCCCGAGAAGCTGCAGAGAGCAGACTCCGTTACAGAAAAGCCGATCGGGTGAGGGAGGGGCCGTGAGAAAGAGAAAGACCCCTAGAGGTGCGCGTCAAGGGAACGGAGACGTGGACCTGGAGGACGGGCAGCAGGGAGCGTCCACATCCTGCTG